AATCAAACTCGATGCCTTCTAGAAAGTCTTAGAGAACGTCTTAAGCTTTCTAATGATGCCAGGATTGTCTCATTTGCATGTCCATAGGCCCCTTTATTATTTTTTATGAGGTTCCCCTGAAATCTGGAAAATTATGAATTCGGAATGCTTGATGTGCCAAATCTGTGTTTGCGATTTGCTGATTTTGTGTGAATTTTTCGGTAAAGATTTTGATGATGAGTTCTTCATGAACTTTGATTGTCATTTCCAGTCCTAGGTCGTGACAAAATTTGATAATTTTTGGACATTATTAACATGCCCAAATTTCCATGAGGTTGCTCTGAAAATCTGTTCCTATGTTCTGTTCTGATGCACTTCTTCATGTTCTGTGATTTTTGTAAATTCATGTGTAGCTTATCTTAAGGAGTTTTCTTCACATAAATTGTTCGTTGTTGTGTGCTTGATGTACCATAAATTTTCCAGAACTATTTGATCATAGGTCCTTTTCCGATTGAATGCATCTTGTATCCCCTATTCTGCTGTCCTTTGTTTTTCCTTTATGAATTGTCTTTTGTTTTAGGATTTTTAGAAAATAATGCATCCTGAACCAGTTTTTTAATGCCTTCACGAGCTTTAATTCTCACAATTTATCGATTTTCTAGTGCATGTGCTTATGATTGGCGCGTGATGAATTGAATGAAGTGACCCGATGTCGGTTCACTAATTTTAGTGATTGGATGAGAATCAAGGTCTTTCGACCTGTTTGCATGCTTAATTCATCGCTATGCATGCGATTTTTAGATGGACGCCTAGGGATGGTGCATGATCGTGGGCCCAAATTGGGGATTACATATAGAAACTGATTTAGGGATTCATGGCATTAATTGCTGTTGGTGAATACCAATGGTAGTTAATAACCATGAATTGTGTCTAAAACGAACATGGGTAGATAATAAAAGGTATCGATGCATGTTTGAACAAAGGCCGACCCAAGGCCAACTTTGAAATTCTTTGTGCCTTGTTTGTTATCTTTGATTGACTTGTGATGCTGTGTACTTTGTAATTGTATATTGTTTGTTGTTGTTCTTTCTTGGGTTAATACCACGAAAAACCCTAAACTGGTACACTTGTGACACATTTACCCCAAATTATTTTTTTGACCATAAAAAACCCCAAATTGGTACATCTGTGACAATTTTACCCCGAACATACCACAAAAAACCCCAAATTGGTACACATGTGACAATTTTACCTCAACTAATTTTTAATATTATTTTTTTGAATTTTTTTGAATTTTTTCTTCACTTCAACCGGCGAGGGTCGCCCTCGGTAGCCGCTGACGAGGGCCGCCCTTGCTCGACTCGGCAAGGGCGACCCTCGCCGGCGTCGGGCGAGGGCCGTCCTCGCCCGCCCAGGCGAGGGCTGCTTCGCCCGAAGCCAACGAGGGCAGCCCTCGCCCTTGCACGGGCGGGCGAGGACGACCCTCGCCGACGCCGGCGAGGACGACCTCGCCCAGACACCGGCGAGGGCAACCTCGCCCTTGCCCTGGGCGGGCGAGGACAGCCCTCGCCCGACGCCGGCGAGGGCGGCCCTCGCCCGACGCAGGCGAGGGTAGCCCTCGCCCGATACCGGCGAGGGTCGCCCTTGCCGGATCTAGCGAGGACGGCCCTCGCCCAGCTGCGCGAGGGCGGCCCTCGCCCAACGCAAGCAAGGGCAGCCCTCTCCCGAAACCGGCGAGGGTCGCCCTCGCCGTATCTGGCGAGGACGGCCCTCGCCCGACGCTGGCGAGGGCCGCCCTCGCCGGCTTTCGCCTCTGGCCGGTCACCGGACCGGCGACCGGCCAGAGGTTGAAGATAAAGAAAAAAAAAATAAAAGGAAAAAATAAATAAATAAATAAAGATTCGAAAAAAATAATATTAAAATTTAAGTTCAGGGTAAAATTGTCGCATATGTACCAGTTTGGGGTTTTTTGTGATAAGTTCAGGGTAAAATTGTCACAGATGTACCAGTTTGGGGTTTTTGATGGTCAAAAAAATAGTTCGGGGTAAAATTATCACAGGTATACCAGTTTGGGGTTTTTTATGGTAAAAAAAATAGTTTGGGGTAAATGTGTACCAATTTAGGGTTTTTCGTGGTATTAACCTTTCTTTCTTTAGTTTCAGTTTTAGATTAGGGTTAGAATAGGTCCAAAAAGACGATGGTCTTGAATATGGTGAAGGTCGATGTCCATTCCGACTCTATTCTTTGTATACGGCGATGGTCGATGTCCATTCCGATCTATTTTCTTGTAAAAATTCATTCATTACCCAACATATGTCTCGGGTTTCTTATATGCGTTGGATAAACACCCGACGAGTTGCGGGTTTTTCTTTCTTGCACTTAGAATTAGCTAGTTCTTTTAATACCTTGGTTGTTTACTTTACGTAATGCTTTTCAATACAATTGTTTGTTTCTTTTTTTTCTAGACTAAGATAGGATTAGTTTAGAATTTTAAATGAAAACACAAAAACAAGATGCATGATCATTTAGTGGACTAAGACTTTGGCATGAAAATAGTAAAAAATAAATGCATGACGACTCAGATAATAACCATGATAAGTTTAGCGGTACCGAAAGGGTGTTAATAGAAATATTAACATAAGCTAGTCCACGAACTCATGATCTCTGGTTTTTGTAGAAATCGAAACGAAACTCCCGCGTTTCGATTGGGTATTCTAGCCGACCCCCGACCTAGGCTAGTGGCGACTCCTTAAAAAGCTAAAATCGATCCGCTGTCACGCGAGTTATGGATTTAGGGAAAATTCACGTTTATGACCAATGAACCGTATGGATGACTAAAAGGTCGATGCTTCGATAAAGCTATCTTTTATGATGTGCCATATGGACTGTTTTATGAACACTTACCTCTAAACTCGCTTTATCGAGTTTGGCCCTCGAAAGGTAGGTCGCGACACCTTTGGACACCAATTAACGAGGATTATGCATACTATGACGTATAAATGAATATCACTACATTTTTTTTTGGTCAAATAATATCACTACATTAGAAGGACAAGAATTCGATGATAGGTCAAATTCTAACCAAAAACGCATAGGGAAGCGATGGGGAAAAGTGTCAAAAAAGTCCTAAATCTTTGGTAAAAGTACACCACAAATGCTATAACTTGTGTACGGCGATTACTTTGGTGCCATAACTTTTTTTCGGATCACTTTGGTGCCATAATTTTTTTTCGGATCACTTTGGTGCCAAGTCGAAGGAAAAGAAATCACTTTAGTGCCAATTTGGCCGGAAATCCGACGTGGCATTTTTTTATTAATTTTTGACGCCGACGTGGCTCGCCGGAGGCTGAGTCAGCGTGTACAGTCAGCATTTTTTATTTTAAATAACTTTTTCCAGCGTGTACAGTCAGCATTTTTAATTTTAAATATTTTTTTCCTTTTTTTTTTCTTCTTTCCTTTTTCTTTTTCTTTTTTTTTTCTTTTTTTTCTTTTCTCCCCTTGCCGGCCGGTTGGGCCACCGGCGAAGCCCGGGAAGGGCTGGGCGAGGGCGGCCTTGCCCATGGCCGGCGAGGGGCGGCCTCGCCAGATCTGGGCGAGGCGACCCTCGCCGGCGACAGGTGAGGCCGGCCCTCGCCGGATCTAGCGTCGGGCGACCCTCGCCGGCGTTGGGTGACCCTCGCCGGCGTCGGGCGAGGGAAGCCCTTGCCTGGGCGGGCGAGGGTCGCCCTCGCCAGATCCGACGAGGGCAGCCCTCGCTTGGGCCGGCGAGGGGCGGCCTCGCCTGTCGCCGGCGAGGGTCGCCTCACCCAGATCTGGTGAGGCCGCCCCTCGCCGGCCATGGGCAAGGTCGCCCTCACCCAGCCCTTCCCGGGCTTCGCCGGTGACCGGCCGGCTACAGGCAACCGGCCGGCGAGGGGAGAAAAGAAAAAAAAGAAAAGAAAAGAAAAAGGAAAGAAGAAAAAAAAAAAGGAAAAAAAATATTTAAAATTAAAAATGCTGACTGTGCACGCTGCAAAAATTATTTAAAATAAAAAATCTTGATCATCATGTGACTTCATTCCGGCGAGCCACGCGCACGTAAAAATTAATAAAAAAATGCCACGTCGGATTTTTGGCCAAATTGGCACTAAAGTGATCTCTTTTCCTCTGACTTGGCACCAAAGTAATCCGAAAAAAAAGTTATGGCACCAAAGTGATTGCCGTACACAAGTTATGGCACTTGCGGTGTACTTTTGCCCTAAATCTTTTGTATTTGTGTCAATTTAGTCATAAACCTTTTTTTGACGCCGATTCAATCTTAAATCTTTTGCATTAGTGCCAATTGAGTCCTAAACCTTTTTTTAGTGTCAATTCAGTCATAAACCTTTTGTATTTGTGCCAATTCAGTCCTAAACCTTTTGCATTTGTGCCAATTCAGTCTTAAACCTTTTACATTTGTGCCAATTCAGTCCTAAACCTTTTTTTAGTGCTAATTCAGTCATAAACCTTTTGCATTTGTTCCAATTCAGTCCTAAACTTTTTGCATTAATGCCAATTCAGTCTTTCGACACGTGAATAGCTATTAGCCGGAAGGACTGAATTGTCACCAATGCAAAAGATTTAGGACTGAATTGGCACTAATACAAAAATTTTTGGACTGAATTGGCACCAAAAGAAGATTTATGACTGAATTAGTATCAATGCAAAATGTTTAGGACTGAATTAGCACCAAGACAAAAAGGTTTAGGACTGAATTGGCACCAATACAAAAGGTTTAAGACTGAATTGACACTAAAAAAAGGTTTAGGACTAAATTGACACTAATACAAAAGGTTTAGAACTGAATTAGCACAAATACAAAAGGTTAATAACTTTTTTTTTTACACTTTTCTCGGAAACGACGATAGTCACGTGCCAAGAAGTCCTCGGAAGAAGCCACGTGTCGCCATCCCGCTTGAGAGATTTGAGCCCCATGCACGACGCCGCCCTCATGTAAAGTAATCCATGCACGACGCCACGTAACCCCCTCCCAAAAACCCCACCTTCCCTTCCGTCTCTCCCTCGACTCAACCTCTTCCTCATCTCTCTCGCTCTCTCTCGCTTCTTGATTTCGATTTCTCCTGCAAGAACCGACACCAAAACCCTCGACAGACAACCCAATTTCGCCCTCGGATCCGGAATCTGATTCGAGTTCGGCACGGAGATGGTGAAGCTAGCGTCGGCCCGGGAGATCCGGATGTATGGGCCGCGGCTGGCCCGGAACCAGTCCGAGTACGTGAACGCGGGGCTCTACCTGTTCGCCACCATGGTGCTGTTGGGCGGGTTCCTGGCGGAGCTGTCCAAGGAGCGGAAATCGGGCCTCGTGGTCCTGCTCATCGCGGTCGGGATCATCGCCCTCGTGAACGTCCACGACCTCGTGGCGCACCTCGCGGGGATCAATTGCCGGGTCTCGCTTGTGGAGTACGACGGGCAGCTCGGGCTCGTGGAGTTCGCGGTCCCCACGGTCCAGGCGTTGGGATCGTTGCTTGTGTTCTTGGGGATTCTGTTTCTGTTCCTCCAGGTGCATTGCTTAATTAGCTTCTTGTTTCGTTAATTGGATTGCGGATGTTGGTGATGGTTGATTAGCTCGCTATGATTTGTAAGCTCGTATTGATTTTCGCTCGTGTGTAGACTACTCTAATGGTGTCGATTGGCGAGAGTGTGCATCCGATCCTTGAGCGTGCAAATGTGTATGCCAATGCTGGCCTGTCAATGAGGTGAATTTAATTTGAGTATGAATTGTGGGAGATCCACGTTTGTTATGGTTAGATGTTCAGAAAGTTCGGCGGTTCTCTCGCACCTAGACTTGGTTCGAGTGAAGGAAATGGAGATCGCAAACAAAGAATTCCCTTGTTTTTAACCTAGAGGACCTCCCTTATACTTTAGTCAATATTTACAATGTGACAATATCTATGTATATATGTATCTATGCTTATAGAGATTGCAGGTTCACCATTGGGCCTTATGCTCTAGACAATTAGCCGGCCGGTAGCAGTCCTGTCGCTACGCGATACTGGCCTTTCCCAACATTTGAGGCCCAATTGCTTCTTAGTGGCTTTACTTGGTTTCGACAGTTCAATAATTGCTATACTCAGGCCTGTTTGGTTCAACTTTGGGGGAATATCTTTAACAAAATGCAAAAGTTTTTGGGCTAAAGGGATTTTTCAAAATGCAAGTAGTGTTTGGTAATATGTATTTTAAAACCACGTTTAAAAGCAACTTTGGTTTAAATACCGTTTGGTAAAAACTAATTTTGTAAAGGACTTTTGCTAATATTTAAAAAAAATATTTGAGGTGGAGCTCAGCCACCGGCAGGCCAAAACGGCCGCCGGCCAACATCCGCCGGCCAGCCTCACCTGAGGTCGGGTGACCTCAGGCTTCGCCTGGGTCGCGCGACCTAGGCCAACGCTTGCCTAGGTTGCGCGACCCCTCAGGCGGCGGTCACCAGCCTCCGGACTAGATCCTCGGGGAAGATGAATAGTCCATGAGCAGTGCTACTAGCATTCTGAAAATGCAACTTGCCAAAGTGCCTCCAGACCTGCCTTGGGCTAAGGGACTTTAGAGGCCTTTGAAAATGCAATTGCATTTTCCCGAAGTGCTCCAAAAAAATTTCCAAATGCCATTTATATTTGGTCAAGGGACTTTAGAGCCCCAATGCTCATTTCAAATGCTGAACCAAACCGGGCCTCACTCCCCACCCCCCCTCCTAGTTTGCTGTCAGCAAAAATCACTTTAATCCTCTCTGATTTATTTCGTAAATTGGGCGATGCCGAAAAAGGAAGTGTTTGGAGTGTCTAAATCGGGGTAGTTTCGAGTGGTTGGATATCACACCATAGAATAGTAGCTCTTGGCTCGTGTTTTGGAGAAAAAACAAGGTCTATAAGGACCGAAATTGATTTAAGCCTTCGAACGTGGTGCCCCATTGAGACCTGCTTGCGAAAAAATAAAATTCTCTGTTTCCCTTGGGGCAGAGAAGGGATCCTTAAGTGTTGATGAACTGTCAATGAGAAGATTGAGTATATATGTCTGAGATGTGGCAATGACTTATACATGATATTGCAGGCCGAAAAAGGATATGGTTATTACAAGCTGGAAAAGCATGCCCTGAACTTGCTTATTGCTGGCCCAGTTTTCTGGTTGCTCGGATCGATTCATAACTCTTGCCAAATTTACGAGAGAGCCGATGGACATGTCCAGATATTGCAACAGAGCGTCCACATCCCGTTTCTAGCCGGAAGTTTGCTCTTCCTGGTTGGGGCAATCATGAACAGCCGAGAGCAAGCCGGGTCTCTCCACCACGGCACGGTGCTGCTGGTCAGTTCCTCTGCTCCTATTTCTCATCCGGTTGCAAATAATTCATTCGATCGATTTCTAGATTCGGCTCAGATAAGATCATTTCTAGGAGTGAGATCCTAGGGCTGATGGTAGAGTTAATTAATTGTATGAATCCAGCTAATAGAACTAGTACATGTCTGAACAACTTGAAAAAAGCATGGGATGTCATTAGTATTAGAGCAAAAACAGTCATATTCTTTCGGAATGCGACTTGTATATTACAATTGATTTCAAGTAAATCTGTGAAACATGGGTCATTTTCCTCCTTTGGCAAGCTTCAAAACTGTTCTAGAGTTTTTGAGGCATGTGAATCCTAGCACAAGACAGTCACCACACATGTTCCAGCAAGTGGGTATGCACCTTATTTTAATCAAATGCCAAAACTTTGATCACATTGAAATTTTGTGAAAGCAGGGAGGGAGTTGGATATGGTTAGGCGTCGTCGGGAGCCTCTTGTTCGTAATCGGGGGATTGGCAAACGTGGTGAAGGTCTTCAAGATGCAGCAAATGGACGGGCTTCGGCTCGAGAAGCTGCGAGGAGGAGCACACGAGCAGTTGATCCGAGCGAGAGAAGGCCAAATGCCGCTCCTCTCGGACGATACCGAGCGGCGTAAGAGGAGGAAGCCGGCCGAAGAAGCGCAACCGCCAGCCCCCGCGCCGCCTACACCTTACAAGGATGTCCTTGTTGGGCAGGCTTGATAAAGATTGCTAACGAAGGATGTCATTGAATTTCTTGTCCCATTTTACTCGATTGGATTTGAGTGAGGCTGTAGCCATTCAGCCAACTTGCCTGCCTCTTTTAATTTAATTGGATTCGAAGATACCATTTCTTGTTTTGGCCGACGAAATCTGAAACCCTTCTCGAGATGCTCTTTGTAATAGCAGGAAGGGCAAAAGTTTTCGGTTTATGACGATGGAGTAAGCAGCTGAGGATGGTTTCTCATTACAGAAGAGAAATACTTTCTTTTTTAACGTTTGGCCAAAAGATTTACTTGACTAACCATGTTCCTAGGCTGGAAGTACATTTCATGTCAAACAAATAATGAAAGAATCGGTCAGAAATATTGTTTAGGTACGGTCGCATATTTGAGATGTGGTGTAATGTGGAGCCGCTTAATTGGTTCATAATTTATTTACTTAAATTTTTTAAATTTTTTGAATGAAAGTAGGTTCAATTGAATATTATGATGAACTTGAAGTTGTGCTCTCTCTTAATAATATCCCCGAATAGAAAGTATCGATTGCACAATTCAATAATTGCTTACTCACCTTATGTATTGGTTATGGTGATTATTTCTTAAGAAAGGAATATTGAACGTGACTCTCTAATCAAGGTGACAGTTGGTGTTCCCGACTTCTCGTTGAACTTTATATGGGGCAAAGGCAATTGAGGCACAGTCCGAATGGCATTTACTTGTTTACCCCAGAATCTATCAAAGTCGGCTGAGCTAAGGTGGAGATTCGAATTGAAATGATACTGGTATGGAAGAATAGCTGGATTAAGAGGGAGCGGACCTAATGTAGGAGCCTCACATGTTGAGGTGCACGTGTAAAGTTATTAGGCAAAGAAGTCACACATTCGAGGTGTAGTGTGTGTTGAATTGTTAATAAATCTTAGTTGATTTATAACTTATCGGCCTAAACTTTTAAATGAAGATGGGTCTACCGGACTCAGTGATAGCTCAGAGTTAAATCCCCTCATAGCGACTCTCTGGACGAAGGTTTCTATCACACGCCACAACATATTTTAAGACAGATTCAGGAGGGAGTGACAACTTCTTGCCATAGTAAAGGTTGATCAGTTCCAAACAAGTCATGCTCAAGAAAAGAACAATTTATTTAGATGCAAGCGTTGCAATTTCGGCTAGGGTTCGTCTTAAATCGAATAGCTATATACACACCATCGAAACACTTCTTTTCACAACTTGTTTGCCTTGCAAAGCGCAGTGGGGAAATACGGTGGGATTCATTACAAAGATATATTGGAAAATGAAATAAATAGTTGATCAACTTTAACCCAATATGTAACGTAGTCCCTGAACTTTTGATTTGTTGAATATTGTCTCTCAACTTTTGGTACATATTCAATTTAGTCCCTAAACTATATGAAATGTTTAATGTAGTCCTTCCATCAATTCTAGTTTGGGGTCTATATTGAACATTTTCATATAATTCATGAACTACATTAAACATGTACCAAAAGTCCAAGGACCACATTGAACAAATTAAAAGTTGAGGGACCACGTTGAACATTAAGCTAAAGTTCAAGAACTATATTGAATAAATTAAAAGTTCAAGGATCACATTACATATTAAGCCAAAATTCATGGACTGTTTGTGTCATCATTTCAAGATAAATTGGTAAAGGCACTAAAAAAAGCTGTGGATCCAGCCATAATGGGTTGGAAATAGCCTCGCCTTAACGTTTTTCTCCCAAAATTGAACATAAAAGGTATTAATTGAATATTAAAAAATTCAAAATTGAAGATAGTGTTCGCTAAAAATACGTTAATATCGCCTCGCTTGCGATATTTCCATGTATTTTGACGTCTTTTTCACCGTTGCAAGCTCTCTTGTCCGTATTCTTGCGTTCCATCGTAAAATTACATCTTCGTAATTTCACTTTCGAGGGGTCCGCTCGTTTAGCAAACAATTTGTTGTCGAAAAATATTGCCTCGTTTTTTATATTTGGAACATTTAGAAAAATTAGTAGAAGGAAAATTATTGCATAATCGATTGAAAACTTATGCTTAAATTCAGAAAAATAAATTTTTTCTTTTACAAATTAGAAATTGTTTCTCAAAATATGACTGAATTTCGATGCTTGGACATGTGGCCCCGACGGTGAGCCTTGGTCCCTCAAGGGTGGACCCTAGACCTCAATGGTCGTGCTCAAGTTCCCGACACTCATGCTCAGGGCAGTCAAGGCCGGGGTTGGGGGCCTTGGTGACCGGGCACAAGTGTTATGAGCTAGCAATTCCTTGGCCGCGGAATAGCCAGTGCAATTCTTGGCGGGGTCATTCACACCAGGTAAGCCCTAGTTCTGTAACTGTTCCAAAGAACAATACGGCAGATATCTTCCTCATATCGCACCTAGCATAGCTTGGATGCCCAGTCCATCGAGCGAAACACATAGATCTATTTAGATACGGTGATTGGTTTTAGCCTGTCATGACCTCATCAAGAGAGCCGCATCAACTCCCGACCAGTTTGTGCACGGAAGGTCAATCCTGCCTTCAAAGCTCCTATGGGTATATTCTTTCAACCATAGAATTCCTAGCACTAACCGTCTTGACACCACTCCCACGATCCAGTTTTATTCATCCCTTGTAAATCCTCACTCTTCACCCAAATAACCCCGAGCACCACTCACAAGGGTATGCGAGTATGAGATAATCATGGTCCATGACATTCTCCCCAGCTCAATTCCGCAACACCCTCCTTGCAAACTGTTCAGTCGCTTCCCTATGTCAATTCTCACTATCAATGCCGCTTTTTTGGGAACTATATGAGTGGTGGACGCTCGTCCAACATAACTACTTCTCTCCACTGGTGGCTTTTCTCGATCAGAGCCGTTCGGCACCTTCGGTCACTTGTGCTTTCCCTGACAAATGTGGCATTTTTCACCAACTGCCCCATTTTTGCAACACTATTCTCCTCCTACTTCGTTTTCTCATGATCTCAGCAGACCAATGAAGGTTTCTGTCCTTTTCGATGACATGGTAGCAGACAGACCCATCATAAGATTTGCCAAATCAATCTATGAACGACTTCCCTATTCAATGAGGAATTGGTTCTTTCTATGCCCCCATTGTCATCTTAGAAGTTGGTCGAGAGTTGAACTCTGTTCGAGCATCTTTTGGCTCCGACAATTCACTCTCTGCCCACGTAGGACCGGGTATACCGCAGGTTTTTCTCTAACTCATTCACTTACTAGAAGGATCCTGCTCTGATACCATCTGTCACAGACTGGCAGTTTCTTGACTGCAGAATAGCTTGTGCAGTGCCTGGCGAGTCGTTCACACTAGGCCAACCCTCGTTCTATAGTTGTTCCAAAGAACAATACATCGAATATCTTCCTCATATCATATCGTACTATACCCATCATAGCTAAGGCGTCTAGTTCATCGAGCAAGACACATATATCTATTTAGGTACGACGGTTGGTTTTGGCTTACCACGGTCTCATCAGGAGAGCGACATCAACTCCCGACCAGTTTGTGCACGAAAGGCCAACCCCACATTCAGAGCTCCTAATGGTGAACTCGTAATACCAATTGTCCTGATACTATTCCCACGACCTAGTTGTATTCATCTCTTTTGCATCCTCACTCTTCACCTGATAATTCCGAGCACCACTCATAAGGGTACGCGAGTACAAAAAATCATTGCCCGTGACACAAGTGCCAATAGCGAAGCTCGGATCTCTAGCAATCGAACCAAGGATCGCGGCTCCTAGGTCAGGATTCCTCGAGACCAGGCGCAGGACCCTAATGCCCGAGCTCAAGACCTGGGATTGTACTCGAAACTTTTTCCTAAAATATAAGTCACCATTGAAAATACGTTTCCGACGGTAAAATTCATTTTCCACGAAACAAGAGAAGTCGAGATTGTACTGATTGCTATTTCCAATTTTCCATGCAAACAGGGGAAAATCATTATATATATATATATATATATATATATATATATATATATATATATATAAACGAAAATAAAGGAAGCCACAAAGCCGGCGCCAATTTCAATCGAGATAAGGTCCTTCAACACTTCTTCGCTCCTTAACCCCCCCGCAAAATCTTGTGGCTCTCTCTCTCTCCCTCCTCCGTCGGCGGGACGAAGACGACGGCGAGCGCGCACTCCGGCGAGCCCACCGCTAGCGCCGCCGAGCGAGCGAGCGAGCAAGCAAGCAAGCATGACTCTGCTTCAAGCTTCCCTCCTCTGCAAGGCCTCCCTCCCTCCCTCTCCTCCTCCTTGCTCTTCCACCTCCTCCTCCTCCGGACAGCGTCTCCACTGCCACTCCCGTCTCCGCTGCCCCCGTTGCGTGACCTTCGACCCTCTCCCCACCTCGCTCCGATCGAAACCCGCGCCTCGGAACCCCCGATTCCGCGCCGTCCGCTCGCTGATTCGCTGCGCATTGCGGCCCGACGGCGTGGAGGCGGGCCCCGAGCCGGCTCCCTCCGGCGATGGCGAGGCGGGGTTCGGCGAATTCGGCGCGGGGAGCTCGGGCGTCGCGGCGGGCGGTTTGGAAGTGGAGGAATTCGGCGGCGGGAGGTCGGCGGCTGAGGCGGAGAGGGTGCTCGGGGGGGTGAGCTTGGAGGATGGTGAGGTGGTCGGCGAGCGCGGTTCGGAGAGGATTGAGGGGGAGAAAGATGGATACTTGGTGGAGAAGGACGGAGCGAAGAGTAAAATCCCGGCGATGGTGTTTCTGATGGGGGTGTGGGCGATGCTGAAGAGTGGGTACGAGAGGGTTTTGGCGGGGGATTGGCTGAGCTGGTTGCCGTTCTGGAGGCAAGAGAAGAAATTGGAGCGTCTGATTGCGGATGCCGATGCCAACCCCTTGGACGCGGCCAAACAGAACGCTCTTTTAGCTGAGCTCAACAAGCACAGGTATTGGAACTAGTAAAAGCTTTGTTCTACTTCGTACCCAATTTGTCCGAAGCAGTGAAATGGAGTTCCTCGACAGAAAGTATGGCTTTTTAGTGTCGTTTGCAATGTCTGTTTCTGTTGTGGCTTTTCAATTTGCATTTTAAGCATCGCCTTATTGTTAATTGGTGTGTGAATCTTGGTTTGCCATGCTGGCTTAGGACAAACTTACCGTATTGG